GTGATCTTGAGAAGCTTTTGCAGAGTGGACTTTATATCTAGCTAATACATTTTTGCGTATAATAAATCAGACAGGTTCAATATAGCTTTATATTTTATCACAAATGCTTAAAGCATATATTTTTTAATTGAAATAATTTTTAATTTAAATATATTGACATTAATTAGCGCATATTTTTTTAAAGTATATTATTTCCATTAATACTGTTAGATTTGTTGGCTTCTTTTAAAATAAAGTTACTAATATTTAATATATCTCTTTTAAATCATATTTAAATTTTTACAACTTATATTATGACTTTAAGACATAATATTCTGTTTTGAGCATGGAATCATACTCTTAAATATCTGGTTACTTCCTTAATAAACAGTATGTCATAGAAATGTGACATAATTATTTATTATTTATGATTTATAGTCAAATATAATCATATAATCGCAAATCGTTTCTACTATCTATTAATGATGACTACAGTTGGTTTGAGCTATATGTTTGTATCAGAATGTCATAAACTTTATAATTTTTATGTGGATTCCCTGGAGATTTCTTTGAAACCGAACCCTAATTTAAATCTAAGGCCCAAAAATTGTGTTTTTATTAATTTTCTCATTAGTGGTAAAAGATTTTTAAAATACAAATATATTATTTTATTTATAATTATAAAGTCAACTTATTTTTCTGGTGAATACTAGATACAAAATCAATCCCAATAAAAGTGACGTTTCTGTTATTTTATCCAAATTTTAGAGTCCTTATTTTTCTGGTTACGACTAGACCTATCCGATTCAGAGTTTTCAGTGAACGATCCTTGATTTAGAACGAAGGTTTTCAGTGATATTTTAAAAAAAATGATTTTATTTTTTACAACCTATGATTTTCGCCATTTTGACAGGACTTTAGCCACATTTCGCCAAATGAATACAAAACAATTTTAAAAAATTTCAATATTTCTCTACTTAACTAATTAAGAATATAAATGAAGAATATAAAGTATCTTAAAGATTCTTAAACTTTAATCAGAAAAAAATAATTGATAGAAAGAATTTTCAATTATAACGCTCTATCGTTTAATGCACATATGCGACTATACGGTAAGGCCAAACCAATGAGATTAAAGCTAACGTAGACCATTATAACTTTTCATATTCCTGAATGAATCACATCAATCTATGTTAGTATTAATTTTCTTGGCCAATAGGTTGCCTTGTGGGGAAAAGAGGGTTAATTATGACAAATTACTGTATTTAAAAACCCATTTCATTTTTTAATGATTAATAATTGTGCATCTTTCTTACCAAATCATTTTAACTTTGCCACAATTAATATGGTGAAATTATAGTTAGAAAAAAATTATATAGATATGTACCACAAATAATATTTTTTAAAAATAGATCATCTCAAAACAGATGATTTATTTTTATCGAAAAAGTAGAATATTTAGTTTAACTCTTAGAAAAACAAAATAAACGGTAAGTTCTCAGCTTAGTATTTTGGTTACATTATAATATTAAAACACAACACACCATATGATTTCTAGTGTTCAAAATTTTTTGATCAAATTATCTCCAAAAATGAGCAGCCCCCCCCCCCCCCCCCATGGAAAAAAGTCCTGCCATTTCACTTTTTCACCTAAAAGTTAAATGAATATTATATTATTAATATAACAAATAAATATAATTTCCTTTCAGATTTGAATATCAGGCAAATAAAACTTTATAAATAATAAATATATTTGGAATTTAGTAAAATTTAATTAAAACAATACAATTTATTCATTAATCAAGATAAAAAAATTTTCCTCGGCAATCAAAAGGAACGGAAATGTTTCATATAAAAAAATTAAACAGCTGCTTAGTTCAAATCTCCTTGGCATAAACAATCTATGACGTCATTGGGAGTATCCGTGCTCAAGCTGAGGTTCAATTCTTACCCCATTTTTTATGTTATGCATTTGTGCGCACCCCAATTCGAAACGTACCTTTGTTTTCATTTATCTTTTCCATTCACAATCATGGTTATAATTTATATTTTTCTCTCATTCCTTTGTACGGTAAATGGTGAAAGTCAGCAGCTCGCTAGTTAAGATCCCTTCACAAACCAAAAAAAAAATGTAGTCGACTGCCATTCAGATCTAGTTCATAAACCAAGAGTGGAATCTAAATATTTTGCCAGCCAAATCGGTTATCGATAAAATATTTTCTCCTAAACTTGATCTAGAAATCCGAACCCACAAACTGTTGACTCTTCCCTAGAGGTAAAACATTCTTTTATTTACAACATGACAACTGTAGATCTCCCCGAATCAAACTAAACAAAACCCCGCAAAACATAATAATAATAATGTGTATTTAAACGAATTTTTTATGATAATTAGAAGGGAAAAATAAAATCGACATCGAATCATTTTCACTTTGCAAATTTCTTGTTGGCGTTTCTCGCGTATCTTAATAAACAACCTTTCATTGACTTTTTGTAAATTATCTTTTAAATTATTTAGCCTTATTTCCACTTTTTTTTTGTGTAAATTATTCACCTTGTTTCCAAATTTGTCACAATCACGAGTTGACGTGCGTTGTGTTAGAGATTTGCAAAAGTAGGCCAGGTCCGCACCCGACCCAGAACGGTCTTCAGACCGGGCTTGGGCCTAATAAATATTTTAAAACATATTTAGATTGATTTCTCAATTTTATATTGAATTTTATTTTAGACGCCATATGAATATAACATATGTTTTTATTTTGAGTAATTATAAAAATCAATTTTAAATAAAGTCCACCCGGGCCAGTAAATTATTTTAAAAAATTTGGGGTTCGGGCCGGGCCGGCAAACCATTTTTTGAAAAAAATTTCGAGCCGAGCCGGGCTTGAAAAATTAGGCCCAATGATCACTACTTTGTATAGGATAAGTAGTATCGGGTAAGTCTGCAGGCACTGATATATAAACTCCAGTTTTTTTAGGAATGCCAATAAAGTTAGATATAATGATCCTTACTGAAGACTAAAAAAAAGAAAATTAGACTATATAATTCCCCCATAAATTTCTAGGTGCCTCATAGTTCCACGAGGAGTGGAACCTATAAATAAGAGGATATTGTATACTTCTTTCTTTTTTACTCCTGAATTTTTGCCATTATTTTCTTGAATTGAAATGCATTAAACAATATTATGTCGTATTTAATTAAATTGTCTTGGTGTTATTCCAAATGTGTATTATAAAATCCTTAAATGATGCAAATTCATATTTCTTTTGTTCACATAAAAGTTACAAGATTAATGTATTTTCTTAACATGAATCAGTTCATTTTATTTTATAAGAACATTATTTATATACCTATTTGGTGGAGGTTTTTAGGCACTGTTTGAATTGGATATGAAAGGAGATGTTAGGTGACAGAATGTACAAAATAGGAATCAGCGAATCAAGTTGAAAATATATTTGTCGCGTTTCAATCATTTTGTAGCTAGTATAAATTTGATGGAGCCAGCATAGATGTTTTAATTCTTTCATTTATCATCATATTTATGATTAGTTACTTAAAAATTTTTTGTCTGCGAACTTGCCCAGAATTTACGCTACACATTTCTCATGTTTCAAATCAATAATAATTACCGTACAAAGTTTAACCCGATTCGATAGCATTGAGAATTTGGTTTGAAGAGAAAACACAACTTGAAGGGGTAATTAATCATATAATCTACCCAAGCCAAAGGTTAGACCTATACATAATAGAGTGCAATCATCTTCAGCTTTATACAATGACCGAAACCCCCTGTGAACATCCTCCGCATAGGATAGGCTTAAGTTATTGTTGCTCCCAATTATAACGTTGGCGTTAAAAAAAGGAAGTAGTATCTCAAGCGATAAAAGAGAGAAGCTCCCAATTATAACGTTGGCGTTAAAAAAAGGAAGTAGTATCTCAAGCGATAAAAGAGAGAAAAAATTAATGGCAGAAACAAAAACGCGAGTAAAGACGCGCAGAAGTCGCTAAGATCAATGGCCACCAAAGCAAAGCTGATGCTGCATTTTAGATAAATTCATAAATTTTGGCTCACTTAAATTTTATTAATATTATATAAATTATCATTTTTATTTATAATTATAATCTTTATTTAAATTATGATTTGTGTTCTTCTGTAATTTATTATTTAATTTTATAAAAAAATAATATTATGATGAAGGAGAATAAATTAAAATGTAATAATCGAATATGATTAACGGTTTTTGTGTCTTGTTAGGGCACAAGAAATCTAACCAATAAAATTAATTTCAAAAATGTTTAAATAATTAATTATTCAAATTGAATATTACCTCTTAATCTCGAAAAATTCACGTTATTATTGACATTTAATCAATTACAATTCAAGAAATTTAAAAACTTTTACTTTTCTTTAGATAAACTTTTCTAAAGATATATATAAATGGCCCTTGAAATGGAAATAGAAGAATGAATGGATACCATCGATATTAACATGCATATTATAAATTTAGGAAATTTTCAATATTTTATAAACTCAGTTATGGTACACAATTTATGGGTTACATGCATTTGATATAAAAAAAATGGAGGTGTCTATTTTAATCAAATATGCACCAAAAAAAGATATTGCTTATTAGAACTCCAATCATAAAATATATTTTTTAAAAGCATAAATGTAATTTTATCTAATTCGCGAACCGAATATGTTCAAAATATAAAAAAAAAATTAATAATAAATAAAATTAAAACTTTGTTTAAAATTATAATACATATATATTTTTGAAATAAATTGCGATTTAAGAATAGTAATTAAATATTATTATATAAGAGGTCAAACATGAGTTTAAGGATGTGTATGTTCCATTTAATAGATTATTATTTAAAGGAAGAAGCAAGCAGGTTATAGATATCAATTAGATAGATATAGGCTAATTAAATTTATTTAAAAATGTCACTTTTTTAAAAAAAAAAAATAATATAAATATTAGACAAATCAAGATTTATTTATAAAATTCTCAAGTGAATTAGTAAAAAAAAAATTTGTTTATTATGCATGATGAAGCAATTTTGCAGAACATAATCCATCCAATATCTTATCTATGAAATATTCCGTAATCATCCCCGCCTTTCTCTTCCAGGTACCTGTCGGTTTGCATGTGATCTTCCGCGTATTTATCCGTCGCGGGTACGTACCAGAGATGTTTAGAGTCTCGGTTCTTTCTCTGAAGCTCGCTGTAGAGGTCCCAAGCGTACCTTGAACGTGATGGGTAAAAATTTAGAAATTATAATCGAAAGTGGTTTCTATTGTAAGAAAAAATAAAATTAAATTAAGGTCGTGTGTTGGGAGTTGTTGTCAAATCAACGCAATTATTCGAAGGACAGAGACAGATGATATTTAATACTGAGGGAAATTTAAATATGGCATTCGGTTGATAATTTTAATTTTTTAACGACATTTATTAGTACGCAGGGCTGTGTACTTGACCTGTTAAATCAGTTTCCATCAATTGACCGGTTAAATATGTTTCGGTCAATTGACCGACATTTGACCAATAAATGGGTTTTGAGTAAATAATTAACTTTATTTAATGTATATGAATAGTTAAAAGGAATCTATAATATAAAATTCAATGTCATTCAATAACCTATGTTGTGGAGATATTTAATCGATTTCCGTTTCAATAAGAATATCAACTCCCAAACGACCAATTTATTAGGAACCGTTAATAAAATGCCACTCTACTTTGATGGGCACGTTGAGACAAAGCTCGTTCCAACTGACATGTGGCCAGAATCTGTCCTTAGAAAAGTTACAGCTGGCATAATTTTCTATTAAACGAGCCGCTTTTACTTCCGGAATTAATTGCATAGCTAGAAAATAATTCCGTAACCTTAATAAAAGGCGCAAGTTGTATTATATCACGTGACCATTAAATTTATTACTAGTAAAGATGTTTCCTCTCGATATCGGGCCGCCCAATAGATAAGCAGTACAGTGATCACGTGTATTTACTCCGCTTGACAAGTCAATTTGACCGACTTGCCAACCCAGATGTCATACATACGTTCTATGGAATTATTACTTTTTTTCCACTTATCTTAAATCTTTTTCTTTGACTTTCTCATACACCATTAATCATAATAGCGAATAATTTTTAGATTTTATTTCTCGCATCATGAAATAGGAAATAATATTTAGTAATAATTAGTGCAGTGCCGATCCATAAATTTTTCACCAATCCGATCCGATATTTTCCGAAATTGGTTTAAAACCGATCCGATATTTATACCGATTTCCCCCCCCCCCTGAACCAAATGTAATTAAGAAAGCAATATTTTTTACAAAAAATCATGCATTTAAATATAATTTTTTTTATTTACAATTAAGACTATATTAAAAAAAAATATTTTAAATATGTAAAATAAATATATCTAACACATAAAATAAAATAACAAAAAAAGAAAAAAGAACGGATCGGTTTTTACAAATATCGGCCCGATCCGATATCTCTGGAAAACGGTAAATATCGGCGCCAATCCGATCCGATATTTGATATCGGCACGGCCCTGGTTTTTAAGTAGTTGTTATCCGGAAAAGAAAATTAATTTGGAGATGAGGAATCTTGATTCATATTAAATCTTTCTTTTGGATATATATGACTTATCTCCTAACAAACCTTAGAAGGGCTACTGAAAAAGACAAGATATCAAATTCATCCACATTTAAAAATTCCTGAAGATGTCGGTACGCTATTAGTATACCAACTCAAGTGGTTAATGAAATAAATAATTTTTCCCATGTTTTAAATTTGAATTGATAAAATAAACAATTTTTAAACTTACACTTGGAGAGTATTAAAACATATAATATGACATGGAAAAAATAATATTTATAAATTCTCTTATCTATTTAAGCAAAATATTGGCATATAATATTCTAGGTTTCTTTATTTGAAAATTATTTGATGACAAAAAACATGTAATAATTCATTCCCAATATAAATAGTTTAGAGAACTGGTTTAGCAGTTTTCAACACTTAATTTAACAGTCTCTAACAGTTCTCAAATTTAATTTACAGTTCTCAACAATTAAACTCATATACTTGTTATAATCCATCTAAATCCAAAATAATTAATAAAGTTTACAATAAAATTCCTATAATTAATAAAATAAATGGTTTTACAAAAATATTATTATCCGACCAATCAACGATAAGCATTATTGTTGATTGACGTATATGTAAATACATATAATATAACTTTTATAAACTAAACAAAAACTAGGATAACTCTAGAAGTCTGCAAATGGAAAAATTTTCAGGTCTGGCACAGTTGGAATTTAGCTTTTACCCGGCCAGGTCCGTTTTTCCATTTTTTTTATTAATGCTACCTGGCCCAGCTTTTACACAAGGCTTGGCCCGAGATATACGTTGGTCAAACATTAAAATAATAAACAACTATAATACACAATATTGGGGATTGGTAAAATCAAAGGCACTGCAGTTTATGGAAGATAATTTCCATCACATATTTTGGATTCATCAATAATCCAGCCCAATAAAAAAAAAATTCTAATCCTGGCTGCGAATCTCAGGTTAAAACCTATAAGAATTACTAGTATCTAGTCGTGTGACTTCTAAAATGAGGTTAAATCATAATATTCTTATATCCACGAAATAAAAAATAATTTTTTGTAACTGTCAATTTTTTTTTCCTTCTTCAAAAGGTATAAAAAAAATAAAGTTTTGTTTGAATATACTCTTTTAGGGTTAGGCTATGATAGCTTTGCTTAAACATAATTCTAAAGCAATATCAATCTCATGTCTTTTCTTAACATGTTGAATAACAGACGATTATGATTAAAATTTGCATCCCCCTAATCATAGAAGAGCAAATTTAATGGCATTAAATATAGAATCGTGTTTAACACATCGAGTTGATCTAGAAAATAACAGCTGATTGATTTTAAAAATCTGTTTATGATATCAATTTTTTTAAAATAATATTAATTTTTTAATTCTATACATGATAATAACCTAAGAAATATTGATTTTAATAAAGACAAATTGATTCTCATAAACCGATCAGCTGTTAAATCGTGTCTCATCGGATCACACTAAGAATACGGTCTAAAATACGCGTTTCTACCGTATCCTATCGTATTTAGCTCTTTAAAAGGATACAGAGAATGTTAATTAGTGACCTGCATCGCAATATCGTAAATTATTAAATAAATATCATCTGTCTCATAAATTTAAATAAATAGAAAAATTTTAATTATCTGTCACTCGTAAGCGACAATGTTGCTAAACATACAAACTTTAAGCATCACCTGCCCATAACTCATAAGTGTCAATATTGCTATATATAAGCTTTTAACATTGCACGTTAGTCATAAATGCCAGTTATACTAAATAATAGACACTTTTAACATTACCTGTCAGTCATCAATGTCAGTATTACTAAATAATCAAAGCTTATAATATTACATGTCAGTATTACTAAATATTAGAAACTTTTAACATTATATGTCAGTCATAAATGTCAGTATTACTAAATTTTATAATGATATTTTATTATATATATTTTAACGTCAATCATAAATATCAGTATTTCTAAAGGGAGTTAATTTAAATTTAAGTTAAAAATATCACTTTACACCAGTGTAACGTGCTATTTTTACTCTGTATGAAAATTACTCATTTATTTAGTGATATTGACATTTACGATTGACGTGCATAAATTTAGTGATATTGACATTTTTGACTGACATGTTTTACTCCTTATAAAAATTACTCATTTAGTAAAGGAAATTAGCATTTTTGACTGACATATTTTACTCCTTATAACAACTACTCACTTATTTAATGATATTGACATTATAAACTGACTTGTTTTACTCCTTATAAAAATTATTCATTTAGTTAAGGAAATTAACATTTTTGACTACTTGTAATGAATAAATAAAATAAATATAGTGATATTAACATCATTATAAAAATTATACACTTATTTGACATTTACGACAATTTTTATTCTCCTTGCAAAATTTATTTATTTATAACTTAAAAAGGTCAAAACTTCTTTAAAAAAATATGATATAAATAAGATACGCGATATAATTAAGATACGCGATATAATTAAGATATATGATGTAAATAAGATACGCGATATAGTAAGATACATGTTGTGAATAAAATACGCGATATAAATAAGATTAAATAAAATTTATTATGCGGTCAAAATGGTGGCAATAATTTCTTAAATATATATTTACATTAAATTTTTTGATATTATGTAATATTTTTATTGGGGTATAATAAGCCCATTTATAAATAGTATGAATAACAATATTTGTCTGAAGCATAGTTGCCATAGCAACTATCTCCACCTCTGTTCCATAAGTTGCATTTAGGGCCATGCCCGTTCTCTCCAAATATACATCAACGGGTTTCTCCCGAAAACCCCTCCATCTGTTCAACCATATCTTTGCTTCTCATAAAGAGACAGCATTGCTGTCTCAGAAAATTATAATGGCATTCGTCATCACAAACTTCTTAGCTTATACATCTATAATAATGATAAATAATAATTTATTGTAAATAAAAATACCTGAAGAGACAATTTCCATCACCAATAATCCGATCGGTAGATTAATCATTTCCAATCACACCCTTATCATATTTTGGATATCTTTTCTTGATCGCAAAATGAAAGCGTTCAGAATCATATATTTTCCAATTTCTGTTAGTAGGCAGAAAAAGATTTGCCTCCTCTTTCTTAGAAATTACAGTATCTAATATAATTTCACCATCTAAAAAAATATCCAAAATGCACTTCTAAAGTGTATTAAAGATGATCAATTGACTTGGACAGATGCCCTGCCTGGCATACTATATGCCTGTAACACATCTGATCATGAATCTTCGAAATTCACGCCCTATGAGCTGATGAATGGTAGAAAAGCAATACAAGCTTGTAGGGTATAATAAACCATTTATAAATCATATACTATATATTATATACTTAATTATATTTAAGGATGATGAAGATTATGATATAGATCCAGATAATGTTGAGGAGATAGATAGGGAAAAACATTTTCAAAGTGTAGTTTGCAAGATGCAAGACGTACATAATACTGCCATAGGCAATATTAATTTAGCCCAGCTTAAGCGGCAGAGGGATTACAGAACCCGCAATACTGGGAAAAATACTCCGTATAAAATCAATGATAAGGTGCTTATCTGGAACAGCCGTCGAGCTGATAGGAAGGATGGAAAAATGACACGGCCTTGGCTGGGTCCTTTTACAATAGTTGGGATTGACAAAAGTATAAATTATGATTTTTAACAACAAAATATTTATAATATTTAGGCAATGTAGAGCTAATGAGTGCCTGTGGGAAACGGATAAAAACACGAACAAATATTTGTAACATAACACATTATGTTACAAGAAAGGGTATAGTTTATTAAACAGTTCCCAGGTTACCAAGTAAAAAAGTTTTATTCTTCTACCATTAAAAATGTATACAGTTGACTTAATTATTAAATAATATTCCTTTTTTTAGATGATGAAGAAAATTTTCAAGAACCAGCAATTAAAAATGTACAGCATAATTCGGAAGAAAATCATATGAAGGGTAATATTTTAATATTTAATATTAAATCTTTTTTAAAATGTCTAGTTTTGAAATTACTAAATACGATAGTTGGAGAGGATTATAATTGTCAAAACAAAAAAGGTCTAATAAAAAAAATATTTAATATACATATTTTTTAGATGATGGAGTTAAAACAATCAGTGAAGCATTGAAAATGCTAAAGTCTGATGAGCATCGACCTCATAGTAATATTTTTAAGAATTGATAAAATTGATTTTTTAATATGATAGTTGCTCCGCCTCACAATTTGAAGATTGTAGATTGCGAAGTGGGCATGCAAAATAAGAAAGGTAAAAATTTGTATAATTAGTAGATTAATATATATTTTTTTAGATGGTGAAATTATATTAGATACTGTAATTTCTAAGAGGAGAGGAGACAAATCTTTTTCTGCCTACTAACAGAAATAGGACGATATATCATTCTGAACGCTTTCATTTTGCGATCAAGAAAAGATATCCAAAATATGATAAGGGTGTGTTTGGAAATGATTATTCTACCGATCGGATTATTGGTGATGGAAATTGTCTCTTCAGGTATTTTTATTTACAATAAATTATTGTTAATCATTATTATAGATGTATAAGCAAAGAAGTTTGTGATGACGAATGCCATTATAGTTTTCTGAGACAGCAATGCTGTCTCATTATGATAAGCAAAGATATTGTTGAAGAGATGGAGGGGTTTTTGGGAGAAACCCGTTGATGTATATTTGGAGAGAACGGGCATGGCCCTAAATGCAACTTATGGAACAGAGGTGGAGATAGTTGCTATGGCAACTATGCTCCCGACAAATATTGTTATTCATACTATTTATAAATGGGCTTATTATACCCCAATAAAAATATTACATAATATCAAAAAATTTAATGTAAATATATATTTAAGAAATTATTGCGACCATTTTGACGGCATAATAAATTTTATTTAATCTTATTTATATCGCGTATTTTATTCACATCATATATATGTATTCATAGCGTATTTTACAACATATATCTTAACTATATCGCGTATCTTATTTACATCATATATCTTAATTATATCGCGTATCTTATTTATATCGCGTGTATTAATTATATCGCGTAACCTATTTATATCGCGTATCTTATTTATACCATATTTTTTTAAATAAGTTTTGACCTTTTTAAGTTATAAATAAATAAATTTTGCAAGGAGAATAAAAATTGTCATAAATGTCAAATAAGTGTATAATTTTTATAATGTTAATATCACTATATTTATTTTATTTAATCATTACAAGTAGACAAAAATGTCAATTTCCTTAATTAAATGAGTAATTTTTATAAGGAGTAAAACAAGTCAGTTTAAAATGTCAATATCATTATAAGGAGTAAAATATGTCAGTCAAAAATGTTAATTTTCTTAACTAAATGAGTAATTTTTATAAGGAGTAAAACATGTCAGTCAAAAATATCAATATCACTAAATTTATTATATTTAATTTTTACAAGTCAGTTAAAAATGTCAATATCACTAAATTTATTATATTTAATTTTTAAAATTCAGTCAAAAATGTCAATATCACTAAAAAATATAATATTAAATTTATGCACGTCAATCGTAAATATCAATATCATTAAATTTATTATATTTAATTTTTACAATTCAGTCAAAAATGTCAAATATTAAATTTATGCACGTCAATCATAAATGTCAATATTACTAAATAAATGAGTAATTTTCATACAGAGTAAAAATAGCACGTTACACCGGCCAGACCCGATCTCTAATGTTAATATTAACTTTTTTAAAAAAGAATTTTTTTTATCTTTCAAAAGCCCGCAAAATTTTGAAATTTTTTAAAAAATTAATATTAACATTTTTTGAATCCTTTAAAAGACCTAAATACGATTCTGCGTTCATTGTTTAAAATAATAGAACAAAATTAATGAGGAGGCCTATGAGAAGCCTAGAAATGCGTATTGTAGCCATGTAAAAAAAAATATTTAAAATTTCATTAATTTTCTTTCGGTTATTTTTTTTTATACTAACGCTATATTTTATTTATTTAAATTTTCAATTCCCATAATTTAAAACGTTTAAAAAAAATATATTGTCGGGCATAGAGCTGGTTAACGATAGTCACTACCAGAGTTGTTAAAGGATCTAGATCATAAAAATGTGGTATCTGTATCTGTATCTAGATAGATTTTTGATTAAAATATCTGTATCTAGATATTATTTTAGACGATGTATCTGTATTTAGATCCATTTAAAAAGTATCTTTTAACAACTCTGGTCACTACCTTAAGGTAATACCTATCAAAGTATTTTGTTTATTTTTCATTTTGGATAGGAACTACCAAATCTATTTTTTATAATATATATTTGAAAAACCGTGATTTTTGTAAAGCCTCTCTGGCCTAGTCGACAAGAGCGTTGCTTACCAATCCGATAGTTATGGGTTCGAAACCCAGCAATGATCATTTTTTTTCTTCTTAATCTAACTTGGTGGTTCCGTCCTTGGGGGGATGATATATAGGAGGCCGGGCTCGACCACGTGATTCCGTTATAATATACGTTAAATAATAAGGGTCGTATTAGATAATAATAAATTTTGGTCGGTATTTAGCAAAATTTGGTTGGTGTTTAGAAAATTGCTATACGTTGACTTGGTAGTGACTATCATTAACTCATAGAGCCAATAGAGATAAAATATATCTACATATCTCGAGAGATTCCTTGTCTCAGATATAAATTTCATCCAGGATCTCTGGTGATTGTTAACTTTATGCTTAAAGTTTTTAAAAATAAAATCCAGTTTTTTTATACTAAAAAACTTTTCCTAAATTAAATCGATAAGCTAAACATGATTCTATATTAATATCATTAAATTTGAACTTCTATAATAGGGGATGCATAGTTCTGTAGTTTCCATAGTAGCATATTTTAGTCATACCCCAAATAGACCAGGTAAATTAGAATGGATATTGAACATTATAATTCTCAGTCAGTGATTTGCCAATTTTTAAAATAGTACTTTAAAAATATTACTAATGTAACAACACAGAATTAAATGATATAATAATTATTAATATATTATATTTCAATAGGATGCTAATTTAATTTAACAAGTTTAATAGCACTTTTAATTTTGATTATAAATATAAGTTATGAAGGATTTAAGTCTTAGAAATACAATAATTATGAGTTTTAAGATTTAAAAAAAAATCTCAAATGATTTGAAGTTGAACAGAGAAGCAAGTACAATGATTAATATGAAAGAATATCAAATCATTGATAAATATGCCAATACTTTAACAACTCAGCTATTTTCCTTTAAGAAATTAATTCAATTTTACCTCCATTTCTGTACATCCATTTGTTGTGTTAGATAGTCCAAATTCATTTCATGTGTTCTTTGTTGTTTAGTATTAGTAAATTTGATAAACCATCTATGTACAGGATGCTAAAAAAATGTAAATATAATAAGCTTTATAATATATTATTCTGTTATTTAAATATTATAATATTAAATAAATGATATGCAATGTAATCAAATTTAATAAGTATATAAATATAATTAATAGAAAAAAAATATATAATATAATTAGGCTAAATAAAATATGTTACAATAGTATTTCTACTACCTTAAAATATTCATACTCTTCAGGTCTATAACCTTCAGGTATTTCTCGCAATTCCGCAGGACCTAAATTAAAAGGAATTTTGTTTATAAAATTAAAATATGATACCGATAAATATGTGACAATAAGCAACGAATAATATCAATGGAATGCCCGTTAGACAGGCATAGAAATGCTTATTTTGTAAAAAAAAAATTATAAATAATTTTTATCATAATATTACCATCATATCAAGACCTTTTTTAAAGGGCCATTCAGAGGGAATTAGAGGCATAAGCCTCTGATGCATATTTTTGTAAAAATTTTCTAGAAATAAATATTTAAAAATTATATTTAAGTGTTTATAAACTTGTAGGAATTACAAATTTACTCAGCAAAACCATGCTGTTAATAGGATTGATGATCAATAGTGTTGTAAAAAATAAAAAAATATCTATCCATTGATATTATTTAATAAAACATTCAAAAAAATATACAAAGAAAAAATCAATGTAAATTTTTTAAGAATCAGCACTAGGTTTTCTAGTGTTGACATGCAACCGAACTGTGCTAGGTTCAGGAATTGTTGTGGGAAGGGAGGGGGGTGGGAGGATAACTAAATTTATTAAAAAAGATTATAAGATTTTTCTAGATGTCATTTAAAAATAACTTAGGTTTCATTTAAAATAGTGATTAATGTTGTTGAACTCCTCGATTTGAGCCGATTTTAAAAAAGGGGAACTATATTTTATCCAGAATATAACGCAACCCTGAAGATTGCTCAATGGTACCAAAGGCTTGGACATCTATTAGCAAAATTTTAAGGCTTGGACAAATTAATGGGGCTAAAATCTTGAGCTAGCCGTTCTTAAAAGTCGGCTTAAATCTAGCCATTTATCAACACTAATAGCAATTATAAAATATTGACAATTTCTAATTCACAAATTATATTAAATATGAATAATCGCCGTATGAATTCCTTATAAAATAAATGTATTGAAAAGGAGCAATGAATTTTTTAAGCATATAAAATTTAATTTATAAATTTAAATTATATTTAAAAAAAATACTAGAAATATAGATTAAATGCACAAAAAATAAGAATTATTTCATATATAATTTACAACATATTAATTTAAAAAATAGGTTATCTTAACATTAGTGTTGTTATATGGCTCGATTTGAACCAATTTTAAAAACGTCTAACACATTTTAGCTAGAAAAACATTGTTGTTAATAGGTGTTCAAGCCTTTGCCATCTATGAGCAAAATTTCCCGGTTTACGTAATATTTTTCTGGACAAAACATTGGATTCGCCGTTTTTAGAAATTGGCTTAAATCGAGCCCTTTAACAACACTACTAAAAATGATTAAAAAAATATAATTAATAAGCAAATAAATTTATAAAGTAAAATTAAATATTCATGTGATTGGGCTAATTTTTTATTGATTACATAAGTGCTTAGTGTTAACTCTCTATTATATAAAGAAGGGCTAACACTTACCCAATCTATTTTCAGTTATTACTTTTTAGTAATGTTGTTAAACGGCTCAATTTGTGCCGATTTTTAAAACGGCTAGCCCAATATATTATCCCGAAAAATATTAAACAAACCTGAAGTTTTTACTGATAGATAGAAAAAAAAGATTTGAATTAGAGGTCTCCAATTAGCGGATTTTTGTCTCGCCCACGCTCGCCCATACTTAGGACTGTGGTAGGGCTTTTCAAAATATTTTCAACATTAGACTGATGGCGGGCGGATTAGAAAAAATATAAAGTAATAGGTGGGTATTTTTTTTACTAGTTTTCAGTCGAAATGAGCATAGAACGAAAGACTTGCCTTGCTGCGAGTGCGAGTTGAGTAGAGAAATATTAAATTCATACAACTTTTCTTTTGACTCCAAAATGACATAATTTATGAAATTCGTCTGCCTAAATTTCCTTTAATTTCATTATAATACCTTCAGCTATTCCTTTAGTTCATATCAATGTCATTTTTTTAAAGCATTTTAATTTTACAGTAAAAAAAAAGTTTAAAGTTATTAAAAGAAATTTTAAAATGGTAAATAAATATAACACCAATAAAAATTTCAAATCGTTATTAATTATAGAATTAATAGGTAGCATATTTATTTCTGCTGTGTATATGATAAACAGATGTAAATTGGAATATATATGCAATTAATTGAAGAATATCGTAGCCGGCATATAGATGTTTTTTCAGCTCAATGGGGGGGGGGGGGTTTGGGGGATTTGCCCCGTACCTCGACTCCGCGGCGTACGTACCTGCTCATAATCCATTAAACTAGTTATTTAATTTAGAAAGAAAAAAAGAGGATCCCTTCAAACGTTTTCGGCTAGCAGCACCAATAAGTACAACAGTTCCAGAACTGGTGTTTAAATGTCAATAGGCGAATAAAAAAAATTTGGGCTAAACAAAAGACAATACCTATGAATTGTTGATATATTTAATTATTTATGGGGTAGGGAAAGGGCTCATTTTAATTTTAAACGAGTATTATAAATACATAAGTTGTAGTGATGTTGATGAGGGGCGTCACATGCCTTTACAATCTTAGGGTAAATTATTTTTTTTTTTCAAAATTGCCTATTTTTTTAAACATTATACTAATCTACCTTTTTTTTTATCTATGAAAATTTTTTTTGAGGGGAATCGAGCCCCCCTCCCTAGTGAACTACTGGTGCTGATGTTAATATTATGAATAAATAGAAAGTCTTGTTGTCATGTTGGCCAGCTAAAACATATGTAATTAAATAAATAACTAATAAATTTTTAATATAGATATAACTAACAAGTTTCCTCTTAGAAGTTTTCACTCTTTTATTTTCCTTTTATATTAGTTTCCTCTAAATTTTATTTTATTTTATATTTTTTTTTCTTTTCAAAACAGCGACTAACTTTTTTCCCCTTTTATTTAAAAACAGAAGAAATTTTTTTAAAAAAAAATATAACAACCGTAATGCTTTATTTCTTTTTTTCTCTTTATATATATATATCTATTTACTACAATTAAATCATAATAATAAACAAAATGATAATAATAATACTATGCATAAACAAAAATATTTTAAAAAATCGATAAAAATGAATTTGTATGTTAATAATAATAATCCGACTCCAACTCCAAACACCACAATAACATTATTTTCATTTTAATTATAGCTTTTTAGAAAAAGTAGATTTATGAATTTTGGTATCATCCATTTGCATTCTACCTGAGTATTTATAAATATATGAATATTCATTCATTAAATTATGTTTTAAATCTCAAATCTTTTGCACTAACATATGGAGCCAATTTAATTCCACTAAAAATTTAAGTCGATATTGATTTATTCATTCATTATCACGCCCATGCTCAAATATTTTTATAAGTTTATTCATAATAAGGCAATGGCTATTAATCTATTAAAAATTTGAAATTAATTTTTGAGAAGAGATTTGACCTGTTTGCTTTCCTATGGGATTAATATATATATATCAGTGGTGTCTGCAAATGCAGCGTCTACTTGGGTCAAAGGGTAGACATTTAAGGGGGATAGATTAGGATTTATAATTAACTAAGCTTAGAACGGTTAAGATTTAGCTTATTAATATAATGTCACGCATTCATTAAATTAAATCAGCCAAACATATTGGTTTGTGGCAGGACCTTTAAATCCCACCTTAAATGGGATTATCCCAGATTAATGAAGCGATGATGATGGTAGGGACAATTATTTTGGTGACATTTATTGTCTTACTAGCCATTTTAATAGGTTATCTTTTAATAATTTAAATATTGATCAATAATATTTATCATAGGTTGGCTAATTGTTTGGAAATGTTTTCTCCTACAATTCCAATTTGTAAGAGAGCTATGTGGTAAATATGACAAAAATGATAGTAAAAAGAACTCAAAATCATCGAAAATTCTCTAATTTTTAACATAGTTTTTAATGCTATTTATTTATTCAATTGAATATATTTTTAGAGCTTATAAATATATCACGTTTTAGCTTTATAAATGTTATTTATTATTATAAATTATGTTATTTAATTTTAAATATAATATTTACAAGAATAAAATTATAATGCCAATAGATTTATTTAATTTGAACATTTTATGGAATAACAATATATATATTATATATAAGGTCAATTTTTTGCATTAAAAATTTTATAGGCAAACCTTTGTGTGGCCTTAAATTTTATTAAAATAAATAAAGAAAAAATATGAAATTAACAAAAAGTAAATTTTCTAATTGGATACATTAAATTTATCAATCTTGACTTTTTCCTCAAAACTTAAAACATTGATGCTTTATTTCAGATCTCATCTTCATACTGGGTCACTTATTGATTTAAGCTTGGTAGAGCTAAGGCACTCTATTTTTTAGTAGAGATACTTTAGCATGCTATTTTTTTTTAAAAGGAAAAGTAACTCCTATTTTGAATTTTATATAATAAATTTAAAATTCATTGAAAAATCATATTCTTTATTTTATTTAATTTTGAAATTTATATTTAACAAGCTGCTGCATTTATAAATCTAGTTTTCAAAATAATTTAAAATATTGGAGATAGAAATTGATCTTGAAGATAATTTTGGTACAAATCATATTGAAGTAGTTTCCCTGGAAAATGTTGATAATATAGAATTTCCTTTTCCTGAATTCGCAAAATATTTTTTATTTTGATTAAAAATAAATTAACAGGGCATGTGTCAGAAGGTTTTATAATCAAACAAGGCATATACTTTTAAATGTTTCCTTGTTGAAGCTGATATATCAAACAAAATTAATTTCAATCTCAATCATTATTTGAAATATAAATCTAAATCAAAGCTGTATCCATAGTGGTTTTTGAGTTAGTTTTAGATGAAAGTTTATTCTCTGGCCCAGTCCAAACATGATATGTTTAAACTAACCATAAGATATTCAAGATATTACATTACAAAATTACATAAATATATTTAATATTAACATTTCATCAAACTCATCTATTTAATAATAAAATTAATGTTAAAACGTTTAAAATTAACCATCTATCTATATATTTTTAAAATTTATAAATATTATCAAACAATTTCAATCCTTTCATATTTTTTTTTAAAAGTTTTGAGAGAAAATGGTTTATTAAGTTAATGTGTGTGGTGGCCTTGCCAATCAGGGGGTCACTTATCCCCCAAATCTAATTTTTATTCTAACTATTACTCAACGTGTAACCAGGAATTTTCTACAGGTGGGGGGGGGGGGTTGATAATTATTTTAATATTGAAATATTTTTTTTTTGAAGCTAGTATCCAATCGTTTTTGAAAATATGATAATTTTGAACACAAATGATGAGATATTAGAGAATACAAAATTATTAAGAGCGAATGCTAAGGTCGTATAGCCGGAAATAATCAATCGGCTAATCAACAAATATTTTTAAGGTCAAGGTCGATCCGATTAAAAATTTTTTTAATCGCTAAGCTGAGTTGCTTGCAGGGCTACGCCCCGCTACTATTAGAATCTTGAACTGACCCCATAACTTTACCAACTCTGGATGGATTTAAATCCAAAAAATACTCAAATGAATATTCTTGAGAATCTTACTTTATATAAAAAAAATAATATGCTTATTAAATTTCCGCATTGTCCTCAAGTGCTAGTGTTGAACGATTTATTTAATCCTTAGCATTTACTTCCTGATCGTCGCTCTAGACTTGGAGATGAGAGTTATAACATTAGAGATCTGCAAATATAGGTCCTGCCTGTATCTGGCCCGAACCCGGCCCGGCCTGTATCTGGCCCGAACCGGGCCCGGTCCGAAGCCGAATATTTTTTAAGAAAATTCCAGACGGGTCAGGCCTAGAAATCTTTTAAAAATATATCTAAATTTATCAATTTTATGTTGAATTTTTTATGTTGAATAAAAATATGTGATTAAATTTACAGATAGTTGACGCCATGTAACATGTATCGTTTTTATTTTGAGTAATTATAAAAATTAATTTTCTATATTTAAATAAATTCGGGCCGGGTCGAGCTCAAAACTTTATAAAAAATTTCGGGCCGGGTCGAGCTCAAAACTTTATAAAAAATTTCGGGCCGGGTCGAGCTCAAAACTTTATAAAAAATTTCGGGCCGGGTCGAGCTCAAAACTTTATAAAAAATTTCGGGCCGGGTCGAGCTCAAAACTTTATAAAAAAATTTCGGGCCGGGTCGAGCTCAAAACTTTATAAAAAAATTTCGGGCCGGGTCGGGCTTGATATTAAAGAAAAATAATTTTTTTTAAAAAAAATATTTTAAGTCATATTCTTTATACAAATATTTTTTTTTTCTTTGTGGGAATAGATATATGCAAAAAATATTTTTAAAGTAGCGTAAAAAAAAAAAAGTAGCGGCTAATAGCGACTTGTTATTTTTTTATTGTAAAATAGCGGAGGCGTAGCGATGGCGTAGCGGTATCGTGAAACTTCTAAAAAGTAGCTTTTAACAACACCGAAAATGACAAACTTAAAACACCCCCTTTATCAATTAGTTCCTATCAATAATCAGGCGAAATAATATCTGAATTTTAAATATCGCATTTTGAATCGCTATTCAGAAATCAAATACGTCTAAATGCATTTGCATTGAGGAATCTTATGATTGACATTTAATAATACCTAGACTGACGACGCGTTGATAATAATGCACTTGAAAGTGTCGTCGAATGCAAATCAGCTGGATCCGCCATTTTGGTAACCCATATAATAATTATTATCATGTATAAAAATACTATTAAATTGATAACCATCATCAGGCAATTCTTTAATAATGTTTGCGTCAGAACGTAGGAATAAATTGTCCCTCTAGTTTAAATTTTTGTTATTAATGATACGGGTAACCAAAATGGAGTCTCCAGCTGTTTTTCATTGAAGTATACACTTTTACTGAAATGTATCGTCAGTCTAGGTAATATTATATGTCATTGGATTCAAGTATCTTTATGAATATTTTATGTTCTTTCCGGGCCTATTTAACTGACGAAGAAGTAAAATATTTTAAATCTTGTTACATTTTGAATAGATTTATATTTCAAATTTGATATGAATCTTCATATTAAGGGTCAAGTAATAAAAACGTTAAACTTTTGAAGGCACTAATTCTGAACGCTTAGGGCCATTATGCAATGCTCAGCTTAGTATTACATTTTAGTTTAATACTTCGATCTGCCTGGAAGCAGCAACTATAAGAAGAAAAAAGAGTCATCAACAATATAAGAACATTTCTTAAAATTTGGCGTCAAAATTCCAGATAGAAATTAAAAATATAGATACACTTAAAAGCGATCATAATGAAATAAAAAGAGACATTTAAACAAATGTAAATATATTATTCTAAAATATTAGAACTCGAAGCCCCCTGTCTGCATAAACCTTAATACTTCTATAATTTAAGAGCGATAGCATAAAAAGTCCTTGGAAAAATGTGAATATCAAAAATAGGATGAGTTTGTCACGATCAAAATTGAAAACGATCACAATAGGTGACACTTTTTGTTTTTAAAAGCACTGAGATTGAGTGATTGATTAGCGGATAGTGATCGGCATTCAGCCTAATTTCTTAAGCACGATCCGGTCCGAAACCCGTTTTGGCCGGGTCGGGCGGTGATTTGCAGATCTTTGAGTAGAATATCAAACATCGATCCCATAAGAATTGCGCCTTTAAAAATGGTCTAACAATTTTTTTTCTCTTGTACTTAACCTAGCAAATAAAAACCGGTTTTACAAATCTTTCAAAAATATGCATTTATAAACCGGCCCGGCTTTTTTTCTTTAAAAAAATTTCAGGCCCGACCCGTGTAGCGGGCCGGGGTTAGGGCCGGGCCTGTATATTTGACTATGTTACTATTTTGTTAACAATTATGAGACGGACAGAAAGGAAAGTGTTAGATATAATTTTTCATAAAATTATATTTTTTAAATGAAATTCGCATATGATTAACCTCGTCTCGTTTAATTTTATGTCATTTTAAAAATTGTCGTATTTGCATTTTATTTGCGACAGATTTTTCAGGAAATCTTTTTCAATTTTGACTGGAATTACTTGAAAATTTAAAAATTATAAAATAAATCTTAAGAATAATCGAGAAAATTAAAAATAAAAATAAAAATAAAATGAAAGATAAATAGATAAAAATAATTTAAAAAAAAATAAGTGATAAAGATTAAAAATTGGAAAAAATTAAAAAAAATAATAAAATAAAATAATAAAGATAAAGATAAAGATAATGATAATAATTTTTTTTTATAAAATAAGGTAAAAGATAAAAATTTGAAAAAATTTAAAAAAATTAAAAAAAATATATATCTAATCTTTACTCGTAACAAAAAAAATAATATATTTTAATAAAAATTTATAATTTCTTAACAAATATTTAAACAGGTGAAAAATTTTGTATGTTATTTTCATTTCCGTTTTCCACTTGCAAATAAAAGTAAATAAATGATTTTTTAAAAATAATTCAATTTTCAATACAAGTGATTAACCAAAAAATACCTAATTCAATAAAATATATATAAGAATAAATTAATAATAACCTTTAATAAAATACATTTACTATTCTTACTTAATATGAGCCAATAGTTGTATTTTAGTATTTTAAAATCGATTTTTGCTTATATTATTTACCAAATTAAAAAAAAAAGACCATAATTTTATAAAAGTAAATATCTTGCCTCGGTTGCAAAAAAAAAATTAGGATTAATATTCTTATCAACAAATATTACGATGATGTGCTATTGACCTTACAATAATTATCTGTCTGAGATGTTTGATATCAGGGGGCAAAGGTACCATTTGCAAGTCTCGGCCCCGGATATTTTTTTTCAAAAATTTTTTACGGCCCGGCCCGGTTTTCATATTTTAATGTCGGGCCCGGATTTTTTATAGGCTAATAATGGCGATTTCAAATATTTGGTTTATAAATAAATAAACGGATCGAGACTCAGCCCGAAAAAATTTCCGGCCCGGCCCCTCAATTCCTAATATACGAAATGATATACAAATAAAAAAAAACTCACTCTATAAAAACGGAGGTGGGACTTCAAGTTCCCCCAAAAAAACATGA